GAAAATTTTGAAAAAAATGTCGCTTACGTTATTTTGGCGGTTAGGGCTCGATATGGTTTTCTAAAATTTGTTTGGTTTGGTTTATTTTCTAAGTTTCAAGTGCATTTTTTTTTGTAAAGTTCGAATAATTAAAGGAAAATTTCAACTGGAAAACAAAACTATAAGTGAGAACCTATGCCCCAATTTAAAAAAGTGACTTTTTAACATTTGTTTTCAAAAAAAAACTGACTTATTTGTATAACCTCAAACATTTTCTAATTTATTTCCATTTATGATTTTATGTAAGCTTTTAAAATTTTGTTAACTTTCGGAAAACAAATTGGAAAAGGAGATGGATAAATTAAGATGTAATGAGTTGATATTATTTTACTTAAGGCGCCGTTTTCAAGAAAACCCGTTTTTTCTGGGCTATCATGCTATTACACAAGGCGAGTTGTTTGACGTTTGGCTGATTGGATGTTCGAAAAAAAAAAAGCTTTTTCGGTTGATGCTGCAGATATTTGCGAAAGTTCCATGAAAATCTTTTTTGCAATTATTTATCAAAGAAAGACGAAAATTATGGAAAACAATTTGGAAAAGATGCTAAAATATTTAGATCTGAAAACATAGCGTTTCTTTCTGATGAAGTTCTTTTCGAAATCAAAAAGCCAACTGTGTCGACCAGCAGTCGGATTCTAATTTTCGCTATCGCTAAAATGCTAAAATACGAAAGCTAACATTTTGCCAAATTTTTTTTCCTCCCTTTCACTAAAAATAGCTTAGCCAAAATTTTTTGGTGATAAATAGTCCATTTTAATGGTGATAAATAGTTAAAATGGAAGCGTGTGATAGCAAAAAAATACCAGCCTCAATTTGGATTACATTTCATCTCCTGTAGCGTAGCTATGGCTATGTTACAAAGACACTTGCGCCGATACGTAAAGACCATTGATGAGCAGCCTTCGCAAAAAGGCAAATCCTTGAGAGAAATTTTTGACTCAAAGTGAATAGAACTTTGAACATTCTTTTCACAAATTATTTTCAAAAACATTCGTATTCTTTTCAGGAAGTTACCTGCGATTTTTGGTAAATGTGTCACAAAGCAGCATTTGCATTCTGAATATAAATAATATCGATGGAGAATTAGGGAATACTGAAACCTCAAGTGAAAATGAAGTGTTTTATGAAGACTAACTGCTTTGGGAATCTCTCCTCAAGGCATGTCTGCGAGACATGTAGTAAATATTTTTCTTTTTTCAATTTAGGAATTTCGACAATGCCATAATTAATCGCTAGAATAATAATGCATTATTTTAGCTGCTATTAATTTCGCACAGAAAAAGTAATCATTTGACCTAATGTGCAATCCTCGAAATAAACTGAATAAAAAACAAACCACTAAACTGTACTTACATAAATTTTTTGTTGTTATTCTTCTATATTTGCAAGCGTATTTATTAATATTTTAGTGCTTAGCTACGAGCTTACAATTGCTTTTTTCTTGCCTATTTTCTTCGTACATATAGCCAAAAATATATAGATCTCAATTTCAAACTTTTTAATCAGAATTAAAAGAAATTCGAAGGTGCAGTTTCATAGCTAATTCAATTTTAGTATAATAAAGTGTAAGTTTGAAATGTGTAGGCATTAAATGGCGAAACTGACAAAGTCGAGCATTCAAAAACAATCCTGTCATTACGTTAAAAAAATAGTCATTTAGTTCATTTCGACATGGCATTTTTTAAATGGCATACATATTTTTTCATATCAATGCCTAGTGAAAATTCGGCATAAGTCAATTTTCATTCTGAACCGAATTTTTTGAGCGGTTTTCGGGTCGGATCAAATCCAGCTTGCAGCCATTGTTTAAATTCTTTCTCCGACATAAAAAAAAAACCTAATAATTTATGTACATAGAAACATATGTAGGTTTGTATGTATTTGATAGGAAAAAAAGTTTTTAAGTAAAGCACGAAAAAAATTTATAAAATTATTCAAAATTAGTACTCAAAGCGGATAACGATGTTCCATGCGATTTTACATGTCCACTTAGTCCTGCGGCTTGTGAGAAACGTTTCCCACAAATCTTGCATACGTATTTTCTTTCTGCATCATGAATGTGTTCGTGTTGACGAAGTTGTTTCTGAGTCGTAAATCCTTTATTGCATACATTGCATATTTTGTTTCGCACCTTCACATGAACGGCGGCCATATGGTCTTTTAGCTTACCTCTGTTATAAAAAGCCTTTGGACAAATTGAACACTTGTGAATACGGCGTTGTTCGTGTCGAAGCAAATGCTCTTTAAATTCGTTAAGCAATCGAGAACTCTTGCCGCAAATATCACAAACATACGGTTTTTCGCCAGTGTGGGTAAGCATATGGCATTTTAACTCACTTGTGGTTGCAATAGGCCTGCTGCACACCTCACAGCTGTAGTTATAGTCTTGTGCGTGCCTACGTAAATGTACCGTAAAATTATTTAACAGCAGAAAACCATGTCCACAAACAATACATTTATATGGTAGTGACCCATCATGGGATGCGACATGTTTTTTGTACTGGCTTTGACTAGGAAGTAAATTTCCACAAACCGGACATTCAAAAGGACGAACATCGATCTCAGCAAATGCCAAGTGCTCATAAAAGCGGCATGTTGGTTCATAAATACTTTTGTTTTGCTTACATTCTATTTTCTGATTCTTTTCGTAAGAGCATATTTTGCGCAGTCGAGTTATTTCCTTCTCCAAATCATGATTAGTTAAGTTTAATTCAAATTTTGCATTCATCTCGTGAAGTATATTCTCCAGTGCTTCTCGACGCCTATTAGGGAATCTATAAGTTATCTCATTTTCATTCCAGAGGCATGGATGTGTCTTGTATATCTTAGCGAATTCAATAAATTGGGCATCACAAAGCAGGTTTTGTGGTTTTGAGGATATTTTTTTGTTGTGGTCCACTGCTTCCTGTTAATATTTAAATAAATGGAAAAAATAATCTTAATTTACATACATGGTATAAATCCGTATTTTTTTAATACTATATGAAGCACAAACTTAGGTCCACTGGAAAGATATGATTCACTAGCACACGGATTGTTCGATTATGGCTTCGGTTTGCCGGTTAATCGGTAATATTTTCATATTCGGCTCAATGCTTGGCTTCGGGGAAAATACTACCGAATGTTATGTCGAAGCTGAACACTTTTCTCGATTTTTTTAACATGTATTATAATTTAAAGGCTCTGTTTAAAAAAAATTTGTATTGCAACTTTTTCTTAAAATCAGTTGTCAGATGAGAACTTCAGAATTTGAAATTGTGATGAAGGAATATACATATAAACGATTTGTTAGAGGTTGTCTTTGGGCCACCGTTTTGGACCGCTGTCACCACTGCCGCCCCAAGGCCGAGATCGCTACCAAAGACCGCCCGCCAGCATTACAGAGGACCGCTATTCGTACTCGCTGTCATCCGGGGCCGCCGCTACCATCGTCGTCACCACTAGGGCCCGGACAGCCTCTCCCATCACCGGAGCTGCTACCACTACTTTCGCGCCAGGCCGAAGCTGCCTAGAGTTACTTAAAGCAGTTGCTGAAAATTATCCTTCTGCTCCAGTCACCAGCGGTCACAGAACAAACTCACTTGGCGAGAACGCAAACAAATTATTGAATTTAAGTTACAACATCAGGGCGGCCACTGTGGCTGACTGGTCCGAGTGTATTTCTGCAACGATAAAGCTTCTGATAAAATCCATTTGGCGTTCGGAAGCGGCGTAAGAATGTAGGCCGCTTCATTTGTGTTACAACATCAAGACGCGCACCACAAATTAGGGAAGCTCGGCCAAACAGTTAGAAAAAGTGTAAGCGCCAAAATATTTTATTATATTATTAAAGTTCATATGTATAAAAAACATATTTGCTACATAAGAATGACTTTGCATACAAACTGAACTGTGAGCACAAATATTGTAAGAAAATGTGAATTTTTTGTTAATATACAAGAGATAAACATATGTAATTTGGATTTTATGTACACTTAGGCATTTCGCACATTAACCGCCTAGTCCCAGTAGTGCAATCTTTCCGGCATACTAAAATATTAAGCTTTTATGCCGAAGCGCCCAACATTGTAAGGCGCTTGCCGTTTTGAAATCATAATTTCTTTACTTTTTTTGTGTTGGGAATAAAAACATATTTGCCATTTCAATAGGTAATATTGAAAGTTAATGATTTTGTGCTAAAACTCGTGCCAATTGTATTAAACCATAAGCGGTTATGCAATATTTTATATCGGAAATATTCCACTTCCGCGAATATTTTACTGAGAAAGAACGGCCAGAAAATGTGTATTGTGTGCACGGTTGCCGTTTTGGCCGAAATGTACCATTTTTGGTACATATTTTCCATGAAGATATTCCCAATGTAATAACAACATGTTACATAAGCATATTGAATCCAGGACTATAATATCAGAACAAAGAAGCGTTAGGCATGATATCCTGGAAAAGCCATAAAGTATATAAAAAGTATAAGCTACTCATCATCGTGGTGGGCTACAATGAAGACAATATTGCCTCTAGATTGCAGGCAACTGACTGAGAAATCAATCTCAGTAATTTCTATCACAAGAGGCGAAGCATTGAGGGGTCAACTTAAAGTCTCTTCTCATAGCTGTTAACAACTAGGCTGTCAGAGGCACTGACGTTTTGGGCATTCAATACAGTGACAAAACCGATTATTACGTACTTAGTAAGCACCGTCCAGGAGGCCAAAAGTCAAGCACCTATCTGTCTGTGTAGCCATTATAGGAACCATGCGCACCTGCTCTACGAAATCACTCTAATCGTCACATACCATACTAATTGACAATGAGGCTTGCTGAAGCGATTTGTGTCGCAGCAATTTGGTGAGCATAAGAAGCCGGACCTTCAAGCGCTCTTGATAGTTTTAAACCAATCTGTGAGGATCCCTCGTTAAACTCAAAGACAAAATGTTACCGAAAGTATCCCTCCAGTAGCCCTACAAGGTAATAATTTCTAAAGGGTAACTCATTTTCGTTGTTGGTGTTTCCGACAGGGTAGGAGTACGACAACTACATATATGTATGGGCAATGTGTATTTTTAAAATATTTGAATAATTAAATATTTAGCTTAAACCTATTTTGGTAAATTTTTTGTATTTTGGTACACAAAAAAATTACTAAGTGGCAACCGTGATTGTGTGTGCCACCAGGGCTTATGCACGGCGCGCAAGTGTGCAGAAGTCGAGTCGTGATGCCTATGTACGACTACTCTACTACGATTAGGCTCGTAATGTGCGGATTGCCTAAAAGGCAAGATGGAGCTTATTCTTTGCAAAAAATGGAATTCCTTAATTTTAAAGTAAATCATCGGCTTCGGCTTCGGTAGTCGGCCGAATGTTAGATTAAAACAGAACGTTCGGTTTGGCTTCTGCCGAAAAATCTACCTTCGGTCGGACTCTAGTATCAATACTACGATCTACATATACCACACGTGTGTCGCCCTTCGAAAACGGGCAACTACAGTATTAATATTGCCATTTCTATTGGGGTGTTCCAAATTGTGTCTCAAAATGTAGATGTGTACATTTTCTAACTGGAAAACGAGGCCGTCTCCATTTTATCAATGGTATGTTTATGCGTCTACATTTTGTAACCACGCAGAAGGGTTGCATTATGGCAACACCAAACAGATTTTTTTTTCATTCATGGGGGGCGTTTTCCGTATTTGTATTTGATTTGAGCGCAATGGCTGATGAAAACAAACAAAGAAAGAACAAATATAAGCAATTGTAATTAAGTTAAACAATTAACATTTTTCAGAACCAATATCGAAAAACGACATTCACCCACTCCATTATATTTACGTATCTGCGTACACCCTAGTTTTTTTTAAATACGGACTATACCGAAAAGAAACTGCACAAATTGTTTAGATTGTAACGTAGGGAATTTTATTATAGAAATATATTTTATTACATAATCAACAAAGATTTGCAACAAAAAATTATTTTCTCAATTTTTTCCGAACATTTTATTTTATCCCCTTGATTAAATTACGCTCACACATTCTACTAATCATTCTTCTTGCTGTGAGCCAGTTTTTTTTTAACTCTGCGACATTTGTTGCAACTCTGCCATCCTTATTTAGTCCCGTTTGACAATTTGACAATTGCCCAATATCTCTCTGTTGGTCTGAGAGCATTTCGTTTCTTTTGCTACATAATTGACCTTGTTATTTTTTAATAAGGTTTAAGTGGAATTGGCGTAATGCGATGTAGCCAAATCGAGCCAAAATACGGCAGAGACGTTGTGCTTTTTATAAAATGGTAACAGACGGCGATTAAAGCACTCTTTTTGGTAAGTTTCGGCTGATATAGTGACTTTCATGAAAAATTAGGCACTATTCAGGCCACAAGAACATATAGTCTGCTAAATTGGTTTCTTCTAACTAAATTTTCCCATTTCAAAACATGACACTGACTGCTCCACTGCACAGCCCTTCCGTTTCGTGTAGAACAGCGGACCTTCTAGCGTTCTTGAGTCCATTTTGGCGTAGGTTTCATCGTCACAATGCTCTCAACGGAATCATGAAGCAAACGGTCGAACAATTTTTTTATTTATTTATATTTATTATTAATTATTAATTATTATTTATTAATTATTATTTATTGTTTATTATTTATTATTTATTATTTATTAGCCAACGAATACAAAAAATATATGGATAACAATATAATACTAACATTCGTAAAATAGAAACAAGCGTGAAAATAACTACTTATAAAATAGATTTATGGAGTTTATGAAGCGACTTTTTGAAACTGAAAAATCAATATCAACATGCTACGAAGCGCAAAGCGTAAAAATACCTTCTGTATACGTGTAAAGTACGGTGACCAGATAAAAGACGCGTATTCAAGCCTTGAACGAAAAAACGATATATATACCAGTTTCAATGTATAGGGATCAGTGAATTCGGAGCTATGACGCCGAACGAAAGTAAGCATAGCAAACGATTTAGAGACAACGAAATTAATATACCTAGTGGTTGCAAACCTGGAGTCAAAAATTACTCCAAGGTCTTTTATTTCATGCACACGTTGGAGGGGTGATAAAGAGTCTGAATAACATTACTAAACTTAGCAAAGGTAACATGAAAACATTTATTAAGTCGATTTTTGTTGCACCAGCTGCTGACGTTATCAATATCACAAAGGTTACTAATGGAAGCATAGATCTTAAGATCAACTTTGAGGAAGAGAAACATGTATTAATATCGTTGATAAACAAAACAAAAAGCAGTGGACCCAGGATACTACCCCGCGGGACTCCAGAGCTAGCGACGAAAGGTAGGGACCTGACATTGTCAACGACGACAATGCAGCGGCGATTCCGTAAATAAGAAGCAATCCAAGTCAGGAAAACTGATTGAAAGCCAAAATAGGCTAGCTTTTTTAATAGGATATCGTGGGAAACCCTATCGAAGGCGTTCGAGAAGTCAGTATAAACAGTGTCAACCTGGACCCCAGTGTGGAAAGCAGCTATACAATCGTCAGGAAATACTGCCGAATTGGATACAATTGAGCAACACGGAATGAAGCCATGCTGCTCCGTACATCCTAGATGCTTAACGGCAGGTTTTCCTTAAATAATGCACTCAAAAAGTTAAGACGTTGCCGACAGCTTAGAGATGGGAGTCTAGTTACTGACGTCGCTTTTATTACCGCTCTTGAAGACCGGAGTGGTGAAGGCTAATTTCCAATCGTCTATAAAGACGCCCGAGGATAAGGATTTGTTGAAAATTTTCAATATAGGATAGACTAAACAGTCGCACTCACTGCTTATACAAAACTACAGACAAACCATCAACGTCGATCCTCAAAAGTACTCGATACTTCCCAACACTAGTTTTTAATTTTTCGAAGATCTGACCTTTGACCCGTT